ATGTACCGTATCGTGACCTGAGCATATCGTTACACCCCTAATATTAAGGCATTTTCAAAGACTACTTTTTGTCAAGGTTTATATTTTTTTGTTGTTTTAAATGTTGATTTGAAGTGTAGGTTTTTGCATTATTATTACTACATTCAAACCTGAACACAGAAAGCATTTTGTTACAAAAAACATTAAAATTCTATAAAAATGTAACAAGAATGAACAGGAATGCTTTATCAGAGCTTAATCCTTCTGGGTCTGATCTGATTTTAACCTCTTATTTCAGTCTTCTGACTCATTTTGGCTACATGGTTATAGTCATACCAATTCATTTGAGTATATGTAATTCTGTATGTGTGTGTCTGTGAGTGTGTGTAAGTGTGTGTGTGTTTGTGAGTGTGTGTGTAAGTGTGTGTGTGTGTGTGTGTGTGTGTGTCTGTGAGTGTGATTCTGGTGAAGCTACGATTTTTAAAAATTCAAAATGTAAAATTCTCCGGTCAGAAGTCACCGAAGACCGCACAAGGGTTAAATATTAAATAACAAGCTAATGATTCTGTCTGTATGATCCAGTGAATAAAAAGCGCTTCATCTGATTTGATTTCCTCTTTGTTTTGGAACTTGACTGACTTCAGGAGATCATTAAAAGATCATTAATAGTATTATTATTATATAGATTATTACGATTCCGAGTTATTACAGTTAACTACAACTAAAACCATAAAAAACATTTCGTTACTTGAAATAAAATAAACGTTCACTGAAATAAAATAATATCTAAAAAAAATTCAAAATTATTTTATTTCAGCTAGTTGCCAAGGCAGCATTTCTCATTTTAATTTGATGTTATAAAATAACTAATAAAAAAATAATTAATAATTAATAAAAAATAACAAAAATGACAAAAACACACAACAAAATTACCAAAACTTTAACTAAAATTAACATGGAAGCAGAAAATATAAAAATAAGATCTAAATCAAAATATTAACAAAAACTATAATAGCATCTCAACGATGCTAAAATAAAATTTCCTGTAAAATCCATCGAGACCTCTCTAAAATATAAATCATTATTACTTTAATTAAAAACAACTTTGTTTTGCTTTGCTTTTTGTTGTTGTTGTTTTTAAGTTACATAGTCTAGCTTTAATAATAACAAACACAAAACAACACTGCATTATGGAATATGATCGCTTCATGCTGTTCTTATGCATTGTATTATATTTTCATTTTTAATGCCTTAATGATGTGACCACTGTGATCTTTTGATTTGACTAGCCTTCAAGTATTTTGCATCAGGAACATTTGTGACCCTGCAGCACAAAAGCAGTGTTAGGTCGCTGGGGTATATTTGTAGCAATAGCCAACAATACATTGTATGGGTCAAAATTATTGATTTTCCTTTTATGCCAAAAATCATTAGGACA